TTCATGCGGATGCAGGCGACGATGATGGCGATAGTGACAGTGATGATGATGATGGTGGAGCTGGTGCTGGTTATGATACTGATGATGAGGGGAGGGCGAGGAGGGCGAGGAGGACCATCGTACGGCTTCTGAAAGGGGTTCGACTTCGCTGGCAGCGACTCGCGCGCTTCCGCCTCTGCTTCCTGCCTGTCAACCTTGGCAATTGAAATCGGGGGCTAGAAGATCACAAGGCTCTGCTTAGAGGCCTTGGGATGTCTTCCCACCTGAAGGCGCTCGTAGGCTCCTCTCGAAGCATTCGAGAAACGAAACGCTTGGGGCAACTCGTATAGGAGGCCCTTCAAAGTGCATTCTGAATGCTCGCCGCACCGGAAACATGCAACAACGAACGTCGCATCATCTATCCGGTCGACAACCAGGATCTGGTGGCCGTTGGGCTGCAGCGCTAGCAGCATCGCCTGGGCACCGCTCCTTGGCAGGATCCTGCGTCGTCTTGTCATTAAGGCATCGTGAGTGGCACGGGCAGCAGAGCCAACGGGCGCGCACCAAATGAGAAGGACGGGGCGGGGGAGGGGCCGCGGCAGCCCCAGGGCTCGAGCTCGACCCCCTCGACGAAGCTCCACCTAGCCACGCTGCCGCGATCGACATGTAGCACCTAATGCTGGGCTGTTTGCTGTGGCAGGGGCCTCGAGCCCTTTCCCACCAACCCTCGGGGCAACAGCAGGCCACCAGGCCAGGGCCTTCGGCACGTACCGAAGAAAACGCTTCAGTCTCTAGTGCTCCTGCTCCTCGTGCTCTCCTCGCACGGTGGTGAGGCGAGGCGGAGGCGCGGCAGGCCTGCCAACTCACCTCGGCCCGCACGGCCTCGAAGGCCAGCCGACACGGGCCTCACGCTCCCCTGCAACCACAGATCGTGCTGCGGCGAGGCCCGTCTCTTGTCGATCTGTCGCTGAGTCTCCCGCTCTGCTTCCGAGGGCTGGAGCAGGCGGAAAGCTGCAAGCTTGGCAATTCTGTCGGCTGGATCGTTGCCTGAGGCGTGTCTCCACTTGCCGGAGGCGTGCCTTGAGGAGGAGGAGGAGGAAGAGGAGGAGGAGGAGCAGGAGGAGGAGGAGGAAGGAGGAGGAGGAGGAGGAGGAGGAGGAGGAGGAGAGGAGGAGGAGGAGGAGGAGGGAGGAGGAGGAGGAGGAGGAGGAGGAGGAGGAGGAGGAAGGCGGCGGCGGGAGGCGGCATGCCCGAGGCGCCCCTGGATACTGGAAGCCGACGTCCACGCAGGGCGTGTACCACGGGCTGACGTGGGGAGGGAGGGGCCGGCCGGCCGGAAGGCCCGATGGCGGCCCAGGACGCGAGGGGGCTGCCGGATGGGCTCCCCCTCGCGGGCAGTAGGACGCGGGTACTAGGACGAAGGGCAGTAGGACGCGGGCAAGAGGCCCCAGGACGCGGGTAGTAGGACGAAGCCAGGATGGGGACAACATCGTATCGGGAGAAGTCGGGGAACTCTGAGAGCCCGCACCTCTGGAGGATGCATCGGGCTGGCTGTCGGGCACCGCGGCCGTTCCAGGGGACGCTCTGGGAGCGCTGCGGAAGGCTCTGGATCGATTTCATCCCAATCCCAAGCCTGCCCGAGGTAGGCGGGCGGGGGCGAGAGGCGAAGGATCCGGGCTCGAGGATGCGGTTTCTGCGCGTATTCGAGGTGTTTGGCGCTTCTGGCCTCGGGAAGGCCCTGGGGCGTCCCGCAAGAGCCGCCAGAGGCCGCCGGACAGCGGCGGGGACGGGCAGACTCACGGGGCGAAGCGGGAGAGATCGGGGGAGCGCGGGGGGAGAGGGGGGAGGGGGACCACCTGTCGGGGGGGGGGGGGGGGGGGGGGGGGCGCCCCCCAGGACTTCCTGGCCGGCCAAGATGTCGAGGACGTGGATGCTGTACTGAAGCGCCTCCCAAGGCACGCCGGCCGCGACGTCGTGCGCGGCCATCGCGGCTCGGTTTCCGCCATCGCGGGGACCCCGCTGCCTCGGTAAGGGCCCCGAGGATCTCCAGGCACTGGGGTTCGGCGCCTGCCCGAGGGCAATCCGCGGCTGGCCCCAGACAACCGGCCGAGCGAACCCTTCGACTCACGAGCGGTGAACACATCCGTGTCCGTGCTCTCGCGGTCGCACGCGTCCGCTCCGCGCGGGGCATCCGCGGGAGCGGCCCAAGGACCTGGCCCGCGAGGCCACGGATACGGGCGTCTTCCGCTCACGATCGACCACGGCTCGGTCACTGGCGACTGCGGGACCCTGCGAGCCCCATCCTCACTCAAGTAACGATGCTTACTATGCTGGTCGGCCAGCTTATTTCGGACGAGCCGCGCCCTTTTGCCTGCCCACTGGGGAGGGGTGCGAAGGAGAAGGTGATGGGGGAGAGAGAAGGGGGGGAGGAAGACGAGGAATGGTACATGCTCGACGCGGAGACCCCCACAACTGCGCCCTGTGTGCTGACCATCTGCTCGCATGGCCCCCCCCCCCTGGGTGGACTCGAACTTGTTTGATTCTCGGCCAGCCGGGCCGCAAGCGGCCAAGCCCAGGTGCTCAGCGAAGCAGGCCTCCCACCGCACCCTGTGGACACTGGCCCCAGCGAGAGGCTGGGCCTCCCAGCGGAGGAGGAGGAGTAGGAGGAGGAGGAGGAGGAGGATGATGATGATGAGGAGGAGGAGGAGAAGGAGGAGGAAGAGGAGGAGGGAGGAGGGAGGCGGAGGGAGGCGGAGGCGGAGGAGGAGGAGGAAGAGGAGGAGAAGGAGGAGGAAGAGGAGGAGGAGGAGGAGGAGGGGACAGCCGCGCTGGCCCGAGGCCCCTCCGGGCCCCCCACCTCGGGCGTTGCGCACAAGCAGCCCGTATGATAAGGACGCGCGGTGAGGGTGCAAGGGACTTGGAGGGCCAGGTCAGCGTTTGTCGGGCGAGGTTGGGGCCCGAAGGGGCAAGGATGCAAGGGTAAGCTTGAGAAGTCGCTCACCCTTACTGTGCGGGTTGACTGTAATGGGGGCGATGAGTGGGGGGCGAGGAAAGAAGCACCTTAAAGGGACCTAGAGCGGCACCGAGGCACGCAACGTGCACGTCTTCTTCGCCCCCCATCGATCGCCTTATCCTTGCGCATCGCCCAAGTGTCCTGGGTCTCTCATCCGACCAGGCGAAAGAGCCCGAAGGCCGCTCACGCGGTTGGTGGGGGCCCCTCCCTCGCGCGCCACAGCGAACCAAGCAATCCGAACAGGCTGGATTAAACGCGCCGACGGCACGGTTCAACTGCACGCGCTCAAGGATGCCCAGAGATAGAGAGAGACGGCACGAGAAGAAGAGATAGATAGATATATATATATATAGAGAGAGAGAGAGAGAGAGGCAGCGAGAGAGAGGGGGGAAAAGACAACTCCTCTTTCTCGTCCTCCTCTTCCTACTCCTCCGCATGCGGCGGGCGGGGGTGGCCGCGATCGCCCCAGGGGGAGTGGCATGAAGAGCGGGGGCGCCGAGGGCGAACCGATCCAGAGGGGCTGCGCCGATCAGGGGCCACGCCTCCCAACTCCCAGCTGCCTTCCGCGCATCTCCGGGGCAAGACCCCGGACTCGCGCTCGCTGCAGCGCCGGACCCGCAGAGCCTCGAGGTCCCGATCGCGCCGGCGAGCCGGACGGCGTCGGCCGCGGGCTGCGCCCCAGGCCGAGCTGGCGGCGGAGAGGGGGCGGGGAGGTACTGCGAGGCCTTCCCCGCCCACCTGTGCCGTGGGCACGCCGGCGGGGGAGAACGAGAGAGAGAGAGAGATAGCAATCTGACGGCAGAGGCGCCGTTCGGGCGCCGCGGCCTCCCGGAGGTTTGTGCTTCTGCCCTCGAGCGCTCCGCAGGCAGCATTCCCCCAGAGCTGCGGCCTGCAGGGCCCGAGCCAGCCCCCAGAGCAAGCTGGGGCACCAAGCCTTCGCGCCTCGCGCCGCGCGCGAGGCCTGCTCACCTCCGCGCTCTCGCGCAGCGCCCGCTCCTGGAGAGCAGGGCAGCCCCACGGCCCAGACCGCGGAGCGCGGTCGCACTCGCGGCCCTGCGGGGGGACCCCCAAAAAGCCTTCGCTCCCAAACCGTTCCAGATCCATCCCTGGACCCCTCCTCCTCCTCCTCCTCCTCCTCCTCCTCCTCCTCCTCCTCCTCTCTCCTCCTCCTCCTCCTCCTCCTCCTCCCCCTCCTCCCCTCCTCCCCCTCCTCCCTCCTCCTCCTCCTCCTCCTCCTCCTCCTCCTCCTCCTCCTCCTCCTCCTCCTCTCCTCCTCCTCCTCCTCCTCCTCCTCCCCCCTCCCACCTCCTCCCCCTCCCCCCCTCTCCCCCTCCCCCCCCCTCCTCCCCTCCTCCCCCTCCTCCCCTCCTCCCCCTGGCCAGTGTCCTCGAGCCGCGTCCAGCTGCGACCCCGCGGGCGACCCCCAAAGGTGCTCCGCCCCGGCCATCCAAGAACGATCTCTGGACCCCTCCCGAAGTCCATCCTGGCCAACTTCCTCGAGCTGCGTCCAGCCGTGGCCGCCAGCCCCTCCAGGGGAGGTCCGAAACGGGGCGAGGAGACGGAGGTCCCCGCCCGCTCCCTGCGGCTCTCCCGAAGGGTCGCGGATCCCGAAAGGTGCTCCGCCGATCCTCGACTGCCTCCGCGGCGCGGGCAGCGCGGGTCGTCGTCGCCGTCGTCGCCGTGGTCGCCGTCGCCGTCGGCGCCCCCGCCCCCACCGCCGCCGCTGCCGCCCCCGCCGCCGCCGCTGCCGCCCCCGCCCCCACGACGCCGCCGCCCCCGCCGCCGTCGTCGTCGTCGTCGTCGTCGTCGTCGTCGTCGTCGTCGCCGTGGTCGCCGTCGTCGTCGTCGTCGTCGTCGTCGTCGTCGTCGTCGTCGTCGTCGTCGTCGCCGTCGTGGTCGCCGTCGTCTGCGTCGGCGGCGTCGTCTGCGGCGGCGGCGGCGGCGCCGCCGCCGTCCGTCGTCGTCGCGACGCCGGCAACCTGCTCGGCACGGGCCGCGGGCGGCGGGCCTCCGCGGGGCTCAGCCCGGGCTCGAACCGGAGCCTGCGCGCGAATGCGCGAGGGGGGGGGCGGGCCGGAAGGCCCAGGAGGCGAGGCCCCTGGTGGCGGCGCTCATCTGGCCGTCGATCCCCTAGGACGAGGCCGGGACCGGGACACAACCTGATTGGGACGAACTGGGGATCTCTGAGATGCGGCAGTTCTGGGTGCGATGTCAGGCGCCGCGGCTATTCCAGAGCGCTCCAGGACGCTCTGAGAGCATTCCAGAACTCTCTGGGGCAACGTGTCCCATTCTGAGCCCCTCCTGGCCATCGGAGGGGCAGACCAGAAAGCCAAGGGGGTGCGTTCTCAAGCTAGGCGCGCTCGTGCCATATCTGACATCCCACCCCTCCCACCCGCCTATTCCCATTGCGCTGATGTCTGCTCCATCCGCCGACGCGTGTCATAGCGGAGCTGGAATTCCAAAGATGACCACATCGTGTTATGCGCAATCGGAAAGGGAGAGCCGCGTACATTGGAGGAGGGGGCGGATGAGCAGGAGGAAAAGGAGGAGGAGGAGGAGGAAGAGGAAGGAGGGGGACAAGGACGAACAGCAGCACCGGGAGCTGGAGTAGAAGGAGCGGGAGGAGCAGGAGGACTCAGGGGAAGGCGGAGGACTGGAAAGGGGGGCGGCGAGAACGATGAGGAAAGACTCGGACCCAGAAAAGTGGCCCGCGCTAGTGCGAGAGCGCCATTCAGAACGACGGGAGCAAAGAGTCGATCCTAAAATGAGGCCCACGCTGCAGCGGTGGCATCTGTTTCACTGTTTGAAGGGCCGACAACGACAGGAGTTTGGCAGAGACTATAGGAAAGGCCAATGTTTGAAATTCTGTGAGAGCAATGCGCGGAGAGGACGGGACACTCCCCGGCCATGTTCGGGGGAGAGAGGGAATAGTACTCATATTGGATACCTGTTGAGAGGGCTCTCCTCTGGCCGATGGTCCTCCTCCCGCCACCGTGATGGCGAATTGCCTCTGGTTGGTGCTGGGCCGTGCTGACACGATGCTGACATCGGCCGCTCCGTGTAGACGACGCGCCACGCTCTGTCGTCTGACGACGAAACAAGGATCCCAACGTCCCATATGTTTCCCGCTCGTCAGACAAGCAATCGAGAAACCAGCATATTATCACGTGGTATACATCAGCGTCACCCATCATGGCACAGGGTGACGTTGACAACAACCGTAGGCCATCTCGTAACACTGCGCAGCGACTCTCTAATACCATAGCATAGCAATGCTATGTTAACCATCGCACCGCATGACGACAGGGCAGCTCCTGCAATGACATGTTGATGCGCAGCACCGCATAGGGCAGCATGGCGAAATGCATCGTACCTTTGTATAACAACAGTGAACCTCATTGGCATACAGTGTCCTGATATATTCGAACCAATGCGTACCCAATGTTGTCAACACACTGTGTTCAACTCTCACGGCGGGATTGCTACTGGGAACAGACACGACACTGAGCAACACTTCAGTAACCAAGAACGAACACATGTCCAACGGTCCTTCACAAAACAAGGGACAAGTATCAGCCTGGTCCTGGCACTATTGCAAAGGTCGACTTTGTCCTGGTCCCGCCGCAGCAATGCTGAATGCCCTGCGGGTGCGCGATGGAAGAATGACACGAACCTGTAGTGCTGCATGCCCTGGAACTCGAACGCGATATTCAAAATCTCGTTGAAACCGTCGAGCTCCAAACATCGATACTGACCCCTTCGGCGAAATCTTGGGCGCACCGTGGCAAACTGGAATCCAGGACAAATCCGCTCGAAAATCAATCGGACGTCCTGCTCGCCGTGCCTCCGATGTTGACATGCGGGGCACAACGAGCCATGATGATACACACTGTTAACCGACGCCGTCCATTGATGCCCATTCTTGCACTCCCATTTTGATTTCGCCTTGCTGTTCGAATACTCCGGCGACAGAAAACGTCCACCTCGCGACTCAGTCACTCATCGTGCACATCTTATGCCCAAAGATCGCCGAGAGCAGGCACACTCTGGACACCAAGTCCCCCCATGATGGACCTTGCTGACCTTTGCCAGCCAGACGTGGCCTGTCCAACATTGCCACGCCAACTTTCCACTAGAAATTTGATAGCTTCCAGACATGCAGAGTCAAACATTCTTCTGAGGAACGTGCTGAACAAATTTTTAACCCAGCCGGGATCTCTCACGCACGCACTGTGGGCACCGAGTTCCACCATTCGACCTACACTTGATGTTTCCCACATTTGCTTTCCAACTGTGTCCTTTTCCGCACTCCCAAACCAATGGCGTTCTCGAGTTCACGCAGTCTTCAGACAAGCACCGCCCGTTGCGTATCGTTGCGAGTAGATGTGCGTCTGTGAGTCCAAGCTTCCTCGCGCCCCGCCTGACAACCGCAAGGCGCATGATGCCATACCAACAGATCGCGAAGCATCCTGAAATTAAATCAAACAGACATATTCGGAGCTCGTGATTGACCTATCTCGAGCAAACATGGCTGGAGCCAAACTTGCTACGGAGCAGAGCACTGCACCGCGTGTCTTAGCATAGCATGGCATGACAGATCAGCACGGAGTACCTCTGCGGAGGTAGCAGCACTAGCATCGCTTTTGTTTTCCAAACACCGGCATAACGCTGCATATCTAGCAAGCCGTACCACAGCACAGCATACTAACATTCCATTAAACAACGCTTGCGTAGCGTCACGTACCAAAAAGGGCCTCAGAGGGGCTCGCGACAGCCCAGCGTCACAAGGGGCCCAAGAAACCAGCCTGGGGGAACCCAGTCGCACTCTTGCCAGGGTGAAGGCCCAGGCCGCCAGACAGCCTGAGAATGACTGGCAATTCTGGTCTGGGCGCTGGAAACGCAGCGCCTCCTGGAATGCACGCACCGCCTGTCCACGTCTGCACGCGGCAGGCTCCTAGGACCTGAGAAATTCTCCTTCACGCCCTGACGCTAGGAATCGCTGCACTCGTGGTCCTCTCGTCCACGTCATAGCCCTTGGGCTCAACGCAGCCGCTCCCTCCAGACTTCAAGTCCGACCCCTCACGCTCTCATGCTGAAGTCACTGCTCCTGACGGCTCGCTCCCGAGGCCCCAGGCGATCGGCTCCAGGATTTAGGCCGCCTGCTCGAGTGGGACCCCCCCGTGGCCTGCAGCCGACGCCAGCGGCAAGAAACTACTTCATAAAGGATGACATCTGCGGCAGCGGCGGGATGCGCCGACGGTGGGCCCCGCGGCGGGGGCGGGGAGCGCTTGGCGCTCAGGTCGGGGCCGCCGGACTTGCCGGCCGCGGCCACGGCGACCTCCGCGCGCGCTGGCGGGCAGGGAGGACGATCCATTTCTTCGTTCCTCCTCCTCCTCCTCCTCCTCCTCCTCCTCCTCCTCCTCCTCCTCCTCCTCCTCCTCCCCCTCCTCCTCACACTCCTTCCTCCTCCTCCTCCTCCTCCTCCTCCTCCTCCTCCTCCTCCTCCTCCTCCTCCTCCTCCCATTTCTTCCTAATTGCTCACTGCCCTCCTCTTCCAAGGGTCGGCGGCGAGCCGCTCGCCCAGGGGGGCAGGGCACGGGAGGCGGGCCTTCTCGGGAATCCCAGGAGGCCTCCGACGCCGCAGAGGGCTTCGCAGAAGGCCGGAGGGCCTGATCGGGGGCGCGCAAACATGGACTAGCGACCCATGGATGTGCGCCCAGAAGGTGCGCCCAGAAGAGGGGAGGATCGGGTCGGGCGAAAGGGGGGGATAGAAAAGGGGGTGTTTGAGAATCGGCTCACGGAGCTGATTTTCCCGGCGCCTCCCGGCGCCGGAGGCGGCTATGTATCGAGGAATGGGCCCCTCGGTGAGGCCGAAACCAGCTGCATGCAGCAAATTTTGTACCCCCCCCTTTCCCAAAGCAGCGGCCGGCTGTGCGCCCTCCCCGCCCTCCTCGTCGGAGGAGGGCTGGCCGAGAGAGCGGCGGCCCTGTCCGCTATGTTTTTCTGCCGTCTTGAGGGCCTCCCCGAGGCTGCCTCGCCTTCCCTGCTGGACCCGCCTCGAACCACGTCGGGGTTGCTGAACTGGCCCAGGGTGCCCACAGCTTTTCGCTCAACCTTGGAGCCCGGGGGGGGGGACCTCCTGGGCCTTGTGAGGGGTGCTCGAAAAGCCGCAGGGGCCTGGTCGTCGGACATCCTGGGGGCACCTTGCGCCAGGAGCTCTTCTGGCAGCACCCGAACACGGGCCAGGATGGACCGATGGACCCTGGGACGGGACCAGGGGCCGACTTCGAGCAGATTTGGGCAGCGCGGGAGGAGGAGGAGGAGGAGGAGGAGGAGGAGGAGGAGGAGGAGGAGGAGGAGGAGCAGCAAGGAAAAAGGAGGAGGAGGAGGATGCGAGGAGAGTGAGGGAGGAGAGGAGGAGGTAGGATGAGGAGGAGGAGGAGACAAAAAAAGAAAAAAGGAAAAAGAGGAGGAGGAGGAGGAGGGAGGGAGGAGTAGGAGGAGTAGGGGAGAGGGGGAGGGGGAGGGGGGAGGAGGAGGAGGAGGAGGAGGAGGAGGAGGAGGAGGAGGAGGAGGAGGAGGAGGAGGAGGAGGCTGGTCCTCCTCCGACCCTCGCCGCCAGCCGCCGGCGAGGCAGCTGGCTACCTCCAAGAGTGGCCCTGGGCACGGGGCGCGGCCTTTTGGTGGGCCTGTTGTCCACCACCACCACCACCATGATTATGTTGGAGGGGGGAAGGAGGTGGAGGATGAGGAGGAGGAAGAAGACGAAACATACGAAGACAACGAATAATAATAATAATAATAAGAAGAAGAAGAAGAAGAAGAAGAAGAGGAATACGAATAATACTAATAATAGTAATAGTAATACTCAGAATGAGAATAATAAGAGGAATCATTAACATATCACTAATAATCATAAGAAGGAGACACATATGAAGAAGGAGCAGATGAGGACGACCCCCTCTCCCTCCTACTTATGGTGTTGACGGTGGGAAACAAGCCCACCAGCCTTTGGCTGCGTTTTGCGGCCCGCCGATCGTCGCGTGCGATGCGGCAGCAGCGGCTCGCGCGCCTGGGCCTGCCCCTCCCGCGCTCCCCGCCCGCGCCTTCCGAGAGCCGGGCACCGAAGGTCCCTTCTGCGAAGAGGCACTCTTGCACGAGGCGCAGCCGAGAAGGGCGGCCCTCGCACGGCGCCGAGTGGGGCAGACGAGCACGGAAGGCCGCCAATCGGGGGGCGCCCAGTAGCGGCCCTGGCC